TTTTGAACCCCATATTACTCTTACAGTAATACACCCTACTGTAATATGAAATTGGTGTAGCTTTCAAATTTGAGCGACTCAAAGGCTCTTTATAAAGATGTAAAGTACTGATATCCCCTATAGCAATTTCTTGGAGAACAGTACCAGAGTAGCTTTCACTGTATTCCAGTTGATAGTCAGTATCAAACACATTTAATGCTGTTGGTAATTCTGACTGCATTAAATATTCCCGTTTGGCTAATCATGACAAACTTGAATAAAGCTGATTTCCAATATTCATTATTTGTATAAGATCATTTGCAGAGCTGATCCCTTGTGTGTCATTGTAAATCAAAGAACACAAACTCATTGCAACACATTGTTGTCCTCCATTCTGTCCAAAAACTAACTCGTTACCTTGACTACGGGAAGCTACTATTGTTTTGTTAGGGTCAACATAGGTTAGAGGGCCAGGATTTTTTTCAGTGTCTCTACTTAATTTACAGTTGCAATAATTTGCTGCATGAGCCTCATTCTAGCAAGAACACATCAGTTTGTTACAAGAAAACAATTCTACATAACGACTGGTAGGATATTTTACCTTTCATATACATTGACAAATTCTTTCACGACAGTTAAAATTGAATGTTTTTTTATTGAATAGTTTTTTAGCGTTAACATAGCAGTATGATGTGAATGAAAGTGAACCTCGCAGTAATGTGCACTACTTAGGCAGTAGTGAAAATAAGGCCTGAAAAAAATTCAGGCCTGTACGGGATAGCAGTATGATGTAGATGACATGGGGATACATGGGAGAATACGTGCATAGACAAATTTTTCTAACCTTTCTGCTCTTGTTCCTTAACCTTTTCAAACTTGTTGGTAGTCTGCTTGGTTCACGATCACATCTACATACACGATGATAGTTGCGTCTATGCTTCTCTCGATTAAAATTAGATAGCTCAGTTGATATAGTATGTTTCTCGATGAAAGGTTCACTCATAAATGTTCGCTCATAAAGGGATATATCATAAGGTTCACGGACCGACCCGTTCCGAAAACGCTCGACGTATTTTAGTGTGGGTCTACCGCGAACGATGTGAGCATATTTTGTACGCGTTTTGAGCGTCTTATACATAGTGTCTGTGCTGATTTTGCGCCGCGAAAGCTTCTCTTCGTCCGCCATTACACCATCCTGTGTGCTCATCAGTCAAAACGACGCGCATGCGTGATGGGGACTTAACTGCGTTTTGCGACCGAACGAAAAAAAAAACGAAGCCGGAATTTCAACTCGGGCGTTTCCCTTGGAAAGCCCGAATAACAAGGAGTTGCACTGAGTGCCCTCTTAGGCTTTCGTCAAGCTAAATATTTATGGCAATCATCGCCGCTGAGATTCTCTGATGCCGAAAATGCGGTAGTTAGATAACGGCGTTATATGTGACTAACACAGTCTAGAGACTACGATTTTACGCCACTATCTGCGTCGGTGCACATACTGTAACTAACGGTGTAAAATGCTAGTAACCAACGGCGTACTTTCTTCCAGTCGGTGATGTATACATGTAAGATTTTACGCCAGTAACTAACGATGTAATTTCTTCCAGTCGGTGATATATATGTAAGATTTTACGCCAGTAACTAACGGCGTAATTTCTTCCAGTCGGTGATATATATGTAAGATTTTACGCTGAGGCAGTGGCGTAAAATTTTACAGTATATAGACTGTGTTAGCCACATATTACGCCGTTATATATATTCCCCATCAAGCTAAGAAAGAATGATCTAAACCAAGTTATAGGAGAGGATACATACAAATATTTGTTTAGAAAGACGTTGCAACTACGGTGGCGATGAATTAAACAATCTCTTTGATGCCCCTGACGATAGTGATAATGTGGACGGCTTTAAAAACAAAATTTTTGTTAGTGGGACTGCTACATGTTAACGCTAAGTCTAAAACGAGCAAGTTCAAAACATTTAGACACAAGAGAATAGTGACAAACTTATCAGCGTGTAGGACAGTTTGATTGTCTTGACTGTTTTTTTTAATTGCTTCATCAGGGTAAAGTATTGAGGTATAATATTTTGATTTACGAGGTCAAAATGCGTTTCTGGCCAAAATCAAGTCTATTTTGTCAAGGAGCCTGAAGTGTTTTTTCAGAATAAAATCATGATTGATAGTCACAAACTTTTCAAAATGCCAAAGGTTCCAAGTCAAATCACTATAAGTGGAACCTTTCATAAGGGACCACCTCTCGTAAGTGACCAATCTAAGAGATCCTTATTTTCAATATTCTTTTGTTTGAACCTCCGGTAGGCAACCATCGAACAGACAATCTGATTTATCTCTCGCAAGTGGGAGTGTTACCCAAAATAGCTTTACCTCTTGACTGAAGTAACAAATGAGCCAAATTTTAAGTTTCTCTCGTGTGAATTGTCCCAAACGCCGCATTAAATAATTTCTGGGATACATCTTAATCATCATACATCCTAAGATATTTTTTTCCCTTGAATAAGCTGCTGAAAGCTATTTCTATAGCTTTCGAGAAGTGCTGACAAAATGTGCCGGTCACCATTTGTAAATTACCTGAAATATGTTCCCCCTCTCCATAAGCGACCACCTAGACTTGCGTATTTCAGGTGGTTGATTACAGGAGGTTTGACTTTGTTAAAATCTATGTACTACATTTTTAAAGTTCAAAATCTATGCATACAATATACCCAAAAATGGCTTTGAAATACAAAAAAAGTTGGACGAAGCAGACAAAAAATTATATAATCAACTAATGTCCAACCATAATTTCACAAAAGGTTGTTGGGCAACTTGTTCCTTGATGATCCTCACAAAAAAGGAGTATTTGAAGGCATTCAATTTTTGCATATTTCACACGAATCTTGAATGAATTTCTACAGTAAATCTAGTACTGCTATTGCTGTACTTGAAATAGTCATGAGAGTTAAGGTAACTTAATTTAATAACTACCTTATAACATTTTACGAAAGGGAAGTACTCTCGTAAACACTCAAGTGTGCTCCAACCCAGTAATTTGCATCTCTCTTTGTATGACATCTGTTGTGGTTTTTGGCCAAGAGCTATTGTTGATGCTCTTCATTATATGTTTTCAATGGCTAGATGTAGTTTTTCTTTAATCAAATAGGGTGACTGTACTGGACATGCATATTCTAGGAGAGGTCTTACTAGTGATCTATAAAGCTCTGAGGAGATTTCTCTGTTCCTTTATGCTTCAGTAGGCCAAACATTTGTTCTTATTGTTTGCTGACACATCCAAGCATAGATTCACACTTGTCAAAACATTCAGTGTTGATCAAAACTGTTGTAAAAAGATGTCAATTCCTGTTGATGGCAAGGAAATAAAACCTCAAGTGAGTAAGTTAAAAATACATAATACGCCATTTTTACACGCAGTGAAAAAATTGTGAGACATAAGTCAGGATTTTGGCC